AGGGGTGATTTCTCACTTTCTATCTCTCTGTTTCTCTCTTTCTGGTGAGTGCGTGCATCCTAAAGCAAAAACCTCTCCACAAAAAAACTATAGGGCATATGAGTTCCCTAGAGAGACACACACAGAGAAATGGAAAGGGAAAGTAAGCTCTCCCCAGAGGAGGAGCCAGCAAGTGGTGTGGTAGTTAAGGGCACTGGACTCCCACATGGCCAACTGTGGTTCAAGTCCTTGAACTTGCAAGCTTGCTTCCTCACTTTCCCTCTCTCTCTCTTTCTCCTTCTCTGGTCAAAATAAAATAGATAAATAAATAAATAAATCAGTCAAATAAAATAATTCTTAAAAAAAAAAAGGAAAGAAAAGAAATCTCTCCCTAGGGGGATGGCTACACTGCAATCCCTTCTCTTGGAATTTTGGACATACACACACTGTGCCCTTGTGTTTTTCAAGCTGCCAGGTCCAGGACTCAAACTGCCATGTGGAATCCAGCCACCTTAAGCACCATGCCACCGCTGGCCCCCACCCTATTTCTTACTTGCTATGTGGTCCTATGCACAGAAGCTAGCCTTATGTCTCAGCTCACCCCACCGTAAAATGGGGATAAAATGGCCATCCACGCTGCGGGGATTAAATAAACTAATACGCAAAGCTCTCATAGCGTTGCCCGGCACACAGAGCCTTCAACAAGTGCTGGCCTCCATCCCTCTTGTTCTAGGCTGAGGGGAGACTCCGGACACTGAGGTAAGTCTGCTATCACAGCCAAGAAACTGTCACAGAAGCAAAACGGATGGCCACAAAGTCCCAGAGGCAGGCGTTACCGTTGAAAGGGCAAAACCCAGAGGACGAAGGGCAGCAGCTGTGAGGACAGGTGACTCAGGCTCCTTGGGGACACAACAGCACCCATAAGGCCAGGCGTGCTGATTCCCAGAACAAGCCAACGCGTGCCCCTGGGCCAGGGGACTTGGAGCACGGCAGGCTAGCACCCTGACAGTGACAGCTCAGGTGGCACACCGTCAAAGCCGCCCAGTGCGGGCGAACTGATGCCAGCGCCCAGCTGGGGGGTGGGATGGCCACCACAGGCGATCCCGAGAGCTCGGCATTTCCCAAACACCTCCTGGGCCACTTGATGGCGGCCAAGCCCCTTCCCCAGCCTGGCCCTCGATGCGGGGGGTGGGCGGCATCGGGATTTGCTCTTTTCCAGCTTAGCCTGCGGGCAGAGCTGTCACCTTCTGTGCCAGGGACAGACACTGTGTGTGTGCTTTTATGGGCAGGCTCCAAATCTCTCCTTAGATTCTCAATCCAAAAACAGTTAATAACCAGTACTCCATGAAGTTCTGACTGCAGACACATTTTTTTTTAGTTAGTTTCTGCTATAAGGCATGTGCACTTGCTATAGGGAGACAGAGAGGAAGAGGGGAGAGAAAGTGAAAAACCATCCCCCATGGGGGGCAGGGGGGCAGCCACCCTGCAATCCTTTCTCCATTCTCCTCTCAATGTTTTGGGCACACACACGCAGTTGGTGTTTTTTTCAAGCTGCTGGGTCCAGGACTGGAACCACGCAGTCGCTTATGTGGGATCTAGCTGCCTTACCCGTCACGCCACCTGCCTGGCCTACAAATGCGGTTTTAAATCCGAGAAGGCTCAGCACTTTTTTTCCTCTATTCCCCATCAGGGCCATAAACTCTTCCATTATGATAATCTCTTTTAGAACAAAACCCATAAAAATTAGTCTGTGTATCACTCACTATTGCAATCCCTAGCCTAGTGATGTTAAAAAGAAAAACGTTTGTTAAAACCAAATAATTAATTGGCCTAGTTAATTAATTGGTGCTCGTGTCCCTTCCAGCATCCTTTCTCCTGCTACGCCTTCTTCTGACAGATTTACGACATTCCAGAATTTCCTATCTGTACACGGCTAGGTGTGGGAGTTTCCCAAATTTACTGAAGCTCAGAGTGACAGGTTCACAGTCTAACAACACGTTCATCTTGGGCAGAGAAAGAAGACCTTCCTCCCAATTCCTTCCCACCAATCAGCACTGCTATAATAAATAACAAAAACAGAGACTGGCTGCCTCTAATTTCACCCTCTCCAGAGCCAGCAACACACAGCAGATTTTGCCTGTGTGCACACATGCAAGTCGCACATGCTAACACACCAGTTTAAGTCCGTCCTGCGAAGGTAGCAGTTTAAGAAAGAATTTGAATACAAGGATGACCAGTACCCCCCACCCCCTACAAAGAGCTCAAGACAAGGAAGGCGTACTGCAGACACTGCCCACGCTGTCTGGCAGCACTGACACCCGGCAGCGTGACCAAGCACACGTGCCACCCCAGTCCATTCCCCACCCACCTGGGGACTGCTTGGGGCAGCCCCGAGTGGGAGCCCAGGGGCCAACAGATCAGATCACGATTCTATTTTGGGAACAGCCCATACCCCCAGAGCAGGCAGGATGCCCACTCAAGAGGGAAAAGACAACCCGCTCCTGACTCTCACCACCAAGAGGGAGTCGAGTCTCAGGGGTCTTCTCATGCAAACACCACTGTTCTACAGAGCCTGAGCTAAATGAGAACCCCAAGTCCTGCTCCCTGCTAAAAGGCAGAAAACTCATCTTGGTCTCTGGGCTTCACCCTGTTTTGATCCAGTTCTGGGGCCCACGTTCCAGATGACCTACACCCAAAATCCTCCAGGGTGGGAAAAGCTCACATGGACCTATTCCCAAGGCAGGCCTGAAGGGCTAAAGATGGGACTTGAGTGTGGGTGGCACAGGGGAGCTCCGAAACCAGGAAGGGAAGAGGCTTGGCAAGAGGCGGTAGCCATGTGGGAAGGGGGGGTTAGCCATGAGGCTGGGAGGAAGGCGGAGTCCCCGGGTGCCCTGATTCGGGCTCCCAAGCCCTAAGAACACTCTGGATCCAAAGTCCTTCATGGCACTTCCAGGCCTGCCACCACAGTCTCCGAGTCTTTTCTTAAAGCGATTCCTCAAAATCAGAGCCACGAGATCTCCAAACATCTCCTTTTAGGGTGTGGAAACTGAGGCCCAAGGTCACAGTGAATAGCAAAGCCAGGACCTGAACGTGGCTCTCTGAACTTGGGGACTATTCCCTGTAAATCCTTCAAGGTTCTAAGCACCTTTCCCTTCCGGGTTGTTCTTCCTCTGTGACCCTCACCTACCCAAGCCCCTCCAGCCCCCAACTCCCCAGCTCACTACCCCAAGACCGCTACGCTCCGGGCCCGCCCCAAGCTCACTGCGGAGGGTACGCCTCCACGTGCTTCCCTCCAAACCCCCACCCACCCAATTCCTCCTTTCCGCCGCATCCAGTGTCAAGGGGCCCGCCCCTCCCGCTCCCTCCACAATTGCCACTTCCAGC